GGGTGTGTACCTTCAACAATTAACGTATTTTGAAAATCTGGTAAAAGATTAGGCTTTGGAGAAAGATAAGCGGCAACAAAGTCACATTCACTATTGGCAACCCATGCATAAGGTTCATTGTGAAAGCTAAAAAAGGCATTTTCGACATTCAAAATAGCACGGACAATTTTCAGATAGCGCTCAATTTTATTGTCTGGTGTATAAGCTCCTAAAATGAGCGACAATCGACATGCACTGAGTTGCTCAGTTTGATGAGAGTCTAAGAATTCTAGTTTCATGTTTACCTCATTTTCACTTTCAGTTCACACGTTATTGATTAAACTCACCCATTTCTAATATTAATTTCTTTTAAATAGAAAAACTTATCGAAAAATAAAAAAAATAGCATCAAAGACGTCGCGGTACATTTAACAATGTTCACAGTAAAACACTATAGCAGTAATACTTTTATTAAAATAGAAAAGTTAAAAATTTCAAAAAAATCGTATTTTTGTATCAACAACGTCTATCAAATCACAATAGTATTAATTCTGTGAACTGAAAAAATACCAAGCCAATTTGTAATTCGCTTGGGTTCTGTTGAATAGGAATGATTCTATAGATGGCAAGGAGAGCGTGTAACCCCCGGATTGGGGGCTATCACTGAAAGTAGATTTTTGAATGACCATATTTAGATAAACATGTGTCAATAAAAGCAGCCAAAACAATTATGGTTTTATTTACATATTATAGTTTAATTACCGCTCTAAAACACATTGATTACTGCTAATAATTCCAGTTAAACATATTTTTGTCATTTATTTCTTTATCCAGGACAAAACACCACGCTCTTTACGCTTCTTTTTAAAATACAGTTCGCCCGCCAAGATTATAAGCCGCTGTACGTAGGTAATGTATTGCTTATTTGCCGTTTCCAACATCCTTTCAAAATTGCGTTGAACCATGAGCTTGTCTAACGCTCATTAATTTCTTCTTCGCTCCAAATAAATTAGCCATTCTTGCACCCTTCAAATACTTACAGTCACCCCACCCGCATTACAGACGTACATCAGGACGACAACAATACCTCGTTTCAACCAGATATATCTTCTGCCTTTGGATAAGTTGGACCATTTGCCCCCTCTAAAATCAGTTGAGCTTGAATATTCTGAGCACGATCAATGGTGATTTGCCCCTCTAAAGCCGCAGGAATCATGATATCAACTTCTGCTGACCAAAATTCTTCATCAGCAATGAGCTGTGCACCAGTAAAACCACCGACACCTTCATTCACAGTGACATAATCACGTAATGCCTCAAGATCAATACCGTTTTTATTGAAAATAGTCCCTGTGTGGTCTTGAATGTGAGTAACTTTTGCATTTGATTCCACAAATAAAAAACCAGCTTCACTCCCTACATTACCAAAACCTTGAATAGCAACTTTAGCTCCTTTAAGGGAGAGCTTAATTTTCTTCGCAACTTCGCCAACCTGTACAAATACTCAAGACCATTTCCTTTCACGACAATGAACCACCAAGTGGATAGGTTTACCAGTGACCACACCAGTAACTGTATATCCCTGACCTGATGAATAGGTGTCCATAATCCACCCCATTACGTGTTGATTTGTTCCAACATCTGGTGCAGGAATATCCTTTTGAGGACCGATAATATGACTGATTTCACTGGTATAGCGACGAGTTAAACGCTCTAATTCTCGAGCCGATAATTTACGTGGATCGACACGGACACCCCCTTTTGCACCTCCAAATGGTAGGTTCAATACCGCTGTTTTGATCGTCATCCATGCTGAAAGCGCCATAACCTCATTCAGATTGACATCTTGGTGATAGCGGATACCACCTTTACCAGGACCACGTGATAAATTGTGTTGTACACGATAACCTTCAAAATGTTGAATTGAACCATCATCCATGACAATCGGTACATCTACGATAAGAACTCTTTTGGGTCTTTTTAATATCTCAATATGTTGTTTTAGATGCTCTCATAGGGAATAGCGTTCAATTTGTTAATGAAAGTTAAACCAAAGCTGCATCATTTGCTTGGATATAAGAAGAGTTTGTCATATGAATATCAGCTGATTTTGTTCTGGCTCATCACGTTATAATAATGTAAGTAAATACACAATTCTCAAAGTATAATTTACTTAACTTTTATCAATTAAAACTAGTTAAGTTTTTTTGTTTAGAAGCAATTTTCGGAAAAAGGTGATACGAAAAACAGGAATAGTGCGAGTATCTATTCCGTTGTAGCGACGATATTTCAGATGGTTAAATAAACATAAATAGAATTCATCGAGAAAATGAAGTGGATAATTAATCAAAGAATTCAAGTGCTTAGGCCCTTATTCACCCATTACACTGAGCAGGTCTGAATCAGAACGTTGGGTCAAATGTAAAGGTATATGATTTTATGGTGGGATTGGGTCCTAGATTTTGGGATTGTCATCCAAAAATTGTCAAAGCGTCCAGCCCAAGCCCGACAATTACTCTTATGCTGTTTAATAGCTGCACATCTCAGCTATGTAGAGTTCATGGAGACAACTTCACTGATTTATTCCAGTTGAATATCCAATTGTAGGAATGCTCACCAATAGCGGTGCCGAAGCAACCGAAAATGCATTAAAAGTAGCTCGTACAGTTACGGGAAGATCCGGTGTCATCGCTTTCGATGGTGGCTTCCATGGTCGCACCTTAGCTGCTGTGAATTTAAACGGCAAAGTAGCACCTTATAAAGGTGGGCTCGGTGCTTTACCCGGTCCTGTTTATCATATTCCATATCCGAGCAAAGACAACGATATAACTTCCGAGGAAGCAAAAAAAGCTTTGGCTCGATTGTTCCAAGTCGAAGTGGATATAAAAAATATCTCGGCAATTATATTTGAACCAGTCTTAGGCGAAGGTGGCTTTCACGTCATGAATGCTGATTTTGCTCATTTTTTACAAGAATTCTGTAAAAAAAATGGCATTTTAATCATTCTGGATAATTTCAGATCCTGGTTTTGGTCGACAGGTGAAGCTTTGCTTTTAAAAGTTAGGGATTGAACCTGATTCTGTTACCTCGGAAAAAGTATTGCAGTGCTAATACCTCTTAGGCCTTTAAATTGGTCGAGAGAAACTACAGAATATCCACATAACGGGGCTTTAGGTGAACATATTCCAGGTAAGTCCGATGCTTTGCAGCAGGTTTAGCCACTCGACATCATTGCGATCTCAAGATTTACAAGAATATCAACATTATATTGAGACAGATGAAGCTTTATTATTCAAATGGAAACAAGCAGAATTTTAACACCTTGTGTTGGACCGTTTAACGTATTCGGCGCGATGCGTGTATGAAGTTTATACCCCATGGGCAGGTAATCATATTAGCAAACATTCTGACTCAGGCTAGAATAAAGGTCTATTACTCATGTCAAGCGGACAAGAGAAAAATATTATTCGTCTATTAACCCCATTGACGATAGAACCTAAAGTATTAAAAGAAGGTCTGGATATATTGGAACAAATTTTGGCAGAAACTGCTCATCAAGAAATGATGACAAGTGTTTAAAAAGGAAGATAGTCATGACTAATTGGATCAATGTGGATGAGATCCGAGCGAAATTCTCAAAGTTAATGTCAGAGATGTATCAAAACGAAGTTCCATTATATGGTGATTTAATAGAATTAGTGGATGACGTAAACCAATCTGTTTTAGAACAGCAAACTGTTTTAAAAGCGCAATTACAACAAACTGGTGAATTAACTCGTTTATCACAAGAACGCCACGGCGCAATTCGATTGGGAACAGCAGAAGAACTTCATAATATGCGTCGCATTTTTGCGGTGATGGGAATGTACCCTGTAGGTTATTATGACTTAGTACCTGCTGGTGTTCCTGTACATGCAACTGCATTTCGGGCAATCCAAACAGATGCTTTAAATCATAGTCCATTCCGAGTATTTACTTCTTTATTACGTCTGGAGTTAGTGGATCATTCTGAATTACGCCAACTCGCAAAAGAAACGCTGGCAAAACGTCATATTTTTACTGAAAAAGCGCTGGCTTTGACGGCAAAACATGAACTGCAAGGTGGATTGAGTGTAGATGATGCAGATCTGTTTATTATTGAAGTTTTAGAGACATTCCGTTGGCATACTCATGCACCAGTCACTGCTGATTTATATCAAGCATTACATGACCAACATCGTTTAATTGCTGATGTTGTTGCATTTAAAGGACCACATATCAATCATTTAACACCGAGAACACTTGATATTGACCAAGTTCAAAATGGAATGATGGGACGTGGGATTACACCTAAAGCGATAATCGAAGGACCACCTCGTCGACGTTGTCCGATTTTATTGCGTCAAACCAGCTTTAAAGCTTTACAGGAACAAGTGATCTTTACAGATCAACAAGGAAGTCATACTGCTCGTTTTGGTGAAATTGAACAACGAGGCGTCGCGCTTACACCAAAAGGTCGTCAACTTTATGATGAATTGCTTGTCAAAGCACAACAGCAATTAGGCGGTATCGCGACTGAAGAAAATGCAGCGCAATATATGCAGATTTTAGAGGAAACATTCAAAGCGTTTCCAGATTGTTACACCACATTGGCCGTAGAGGATTTAGCTTACTTTTATTATTACGCACAACCATTTAGCACTCATCAGGTATGGACAGAAACGGATTTGCCTGAATTGATTCATACAGGTCGAGTTCGAATTGAACCGATTGTCTATGAAGATTTTTTACCCGTCTCTGCAGCAGGAATTTTTCAGTCCAATTTGGGCGGAAATGAGCAAACAGATTACAGCTCAACTTCAAATCAAGACGTTTTTGAGCAGTGTTTAGGCACAAAAGTATTTGATGAAATCCAACTTTATGCCCACGCTCAACAGCAATCAATAGAGGCTTGTTTAGCAACTTTAAACCAATCAATTGTGTCAAAGGTATAACAAGGCTTTGATGAGTTATTCATTTTAATGATAGAAAGGAAATAACATGATTCAGGAATTATTAAATAAATTAGGTGTTGCTGCTGAAGCGTATCAAACAGGTTCATTAACCGTAAAAACTCCAATTGACGGAAGTGTCATTGGGCAGGTTGTTGTAAATGATCTTAAACAAGCTGATACCTGTATTCAACAGGCACTCATTGCTTTTAAAGAATGGCGAAAAGTCCCTGCTCCGCGACGTGGCGAACTGGTGCGTATTTTTGGACAAATTTTACGCGAATATAAAAATGAACTTGGCGCTTTGGTCTCGTGGGAAGCAGGTAAAATTGCTCAGGAAGGTCTAGGCGAAGTTCAAGAGATGATTGATATTTGCGACTTTGCAGTCGGTTTATCACGCCAATTGTACGGTTTAACAATTGCTTCAGAACGACCAGGACATCACATGCGCGAAACTTGGCATCCATTAGGTGTTGTCGGCATAATTTCCGCATTTAATTTTCCTGTTGCCGTTTGGTCTTGGAATACAGCATTGGCTTTAATCTGTGGTAATGCTGTAATTTGGAAACCTTCAGAAAAAACGCCACTTACTGCATTAGCTTGTCAGGCATTGTTTGAAAAAGCGGTTAAACAATTTGGTCGTGATGCACCTGCACAGCTATCCCAATTACTCATTGGTGATGCTTCAATTGGTGAAAAACTAGTGACTGACGAGCGTGTTGCATTGATTAGTGCAAACGGTAGTAACGTATGGGTAAAATGTGGTCCGAAAGTCGAGAACGCCTTTGGCAAATGTATTCGAAATTGGGGGGGAAACGCCATGACTTGCGCCAAGCAGCTGATTTGATTTAGCCATCCGCGGTATTTTATTCTCAGCAGTAGGTAGCAGGTCCCAATCGTTGTACTACACTACTCGTTAATGTACATAAATCGATGCAAGGAGGTTGTTGAAAAATTAAAGCAAAGGTATCACCAGTTCAATTGGACACCTTTAGAAGGTAATCTTGTTGGACATTAATTTGAAACGACATATTTTTTAATCAATGCACGTACATGCTTGGTTCAGGCGCAACAAGCAGGTCAAATAACAGTTGAACGAGTATTATCAGATAATTTTCCTCATGCTACTATGTCAGAACCGCATTGGTGAGTGACTACCACAAGAGAATGTCGTCAAAACGAAACTTTTGCCCCGATTTTATATGTGATTGGTTCTGAGCTTTGACCGAACCTCGATCTCCAAAATGATGTCTCAAGGATATCTTCAATCGTAATTTTCTCCAGACGATATCGGACGCTGAAAATTCCTAGTGCTGTTGGAGTATGTGGCTGACGCGAATGTCATATTGTAGAGGTTGCAGAAATTGGTGGTGCATTTGGTGGTGAGAAAGAGACAGGCGGTGGGCGTGAATCTGGTTCAGATGCTTGGAAAGGCTATATGCGCAGACAAACAAATACCATCAACTATTCTCGAGAATTACCTTTAGCTCAAGGGATTAACTTTGGTTAATTATTTATTATAATCACAGGGTTAAATGAGCATATAACCTTATTTAACCCTTAAAATGCAAAAGTATATTGAATGATCTAAAAAACAACAACATTTTGATGTTGCGATTTGATTGCTATAAGGATAGAGCAATAATCATGTTAAAAAATCAAGTATTATGGTCAACCCTCGTGGATAATGTACCTCATTTCCCTCAATTACAAACAGATATAAATACTGATGTTTGTATTATTGGTGGCGGATTCACTGGTCTATCAGCAGCAATTCATT